TTTCAATTGATTTTACTTATTTAATGTAGTTGCTATGTTATGCAATTTAAAGAACGTTTATTAACTTGACAGAGACCATGAGCTACTTATGCCAAGCTGCAAATGCTTGCCAAGTATTAAAAAATCCTTGAGAGTACCCAATTAAGCTCATGAGTTGTTAATTTGATGGATAAACTTAGACTTAATGTGTGAATTGTCAATGAGCACCTGCTCAATTCATTTGTGCTATATGTGTTAAAAAGAATATGTTCAATTGATGGAATAGTTTGAGGTGTTGTTATATTGTTCTTTCCAGTTATGCCACCTTGAACTTGCTATGGTTGTTGTTCCATGATTTAGATATAACCTATTAACCTCTGTTTAGTATTCTGGTTTTTTGTAGGCTCCTAAACCATTATGAAATGTTGATTTTCTGATGTTATTTTCCTTGTTGACAATTGAGATATATTTTATTTTTGGGTTTTTTACAAATGAAGATGTTTCAACATGAATTGTGACGATTGGCATTTTGTTGCTTGCACTATTGCATGATTATTGTAGAATATCATCTTATCTTTTATATGGTTGTATACTTTTTACTTAGTAGATGTTCTATTTTCATAGGCTGTCAACTTTGCATTTAAAGGTTACTCTTAAAGCTATTTTGGACACTCAAAAGAGAGATGGTTGTGTGAAGTGGTTTGCTGGAAATGTGGCTTCAAGGAGTGCTGCTAGGGCAACTACATCGTTGTTGCTATATCATTTGGATTGTGCACGTACCAGGCTTGGCACTGATGTAATACAATGCTCAATTAATGGCTAATGACAATTCAAAGGGCTTTTGGATGTCACCATTGTTTATGGGGTGTGTGCCTATCCCTTTGAGTTTTTGACACAGTTTGATGATGAATGATTTTGTTTATTTTTTGACTTATGAAGTGTAATAGTTTAACTTTGGTACTTTGGATATTTGGTTAAAATATCCAAATCATAAAATTAAAGGAAATGAAACACAGTATATGTTTGATATTTGGGTTGAGTCACAAATCGTAAGGCCCAATCTAAAAAAAAAAAGCTAAGGGATTAAGGTTAAAATCGGTTAAAATCGAAACCGATGTTAACCGAACCGATTAATTTAGTAACCGAATTAAATAACCAAAATATTAATCGGTTTGATTTTTGGTTGTTAGTTTATAAAACAATCAACCGATTAAAACCATCAATTCGGTTTCAGTTCCAACCGAACTGAACCGATGCCCACCCCTATCCATGGGTATACTCGCCATAGGTTAATATAACATACACTCTCATTTTGCGAAGTCTGGCTCAATACCGAAATTACCATTGGTTGTATTATGCCATTGGCATTCTATTAAGCGGGAGACATTTAGTGATTCATTACATGTTTCAACATCA